GCCAAAAAAAAGAAATTTTACAAAGAAAATTAGTAACTAAAAAGAACTTACGGCTCACCAGCCCCTGATAAATCAGTTCCATTTTCTTCATAATCTGGAAAAAAGGCTTCTCTTTCAAGTAACTCTTGATATTTCTCTTGGTAATCTATAAAACAACATAGAAAAAAAAATACTTGAAAGACCATATGAAAGGACTAGTTTTTGTCCTGAATTCTTCATAGTACAACTACTCATTTAAGTAGACTAAATGTTTACATAAATAGCACTAACTTCTAAATATACAAAACGATTTTCATAGAACATCTTATATCCTATTATCTTGCCTCTTTCCCCCTGCATGCTAATAATCTTAAATAATTATATACAATACAAATGTAACTTGGAAATCAAAGCTACTATTAAATCTAACATGTATTCCACAGAAAACATATATGTTGTCTACATTCTCTATGTGGCTTTCCATCAGATAAAAAAACTCATTTACAATTGTTGGGGAGGAACACTCCCTTCCATATTCCATTTCTTCCCCCTATTAGCAAGATTTTAATCATATGATCTAAACTTCTTCCTATTACTCTTCTACAAGTAGGAAAACTAAGCTTTCTAGGTAGCAGGCTAACCTGTCAAAAGTTCTATTTTTGTTTTTGTTTTTTGGGTCCGGTTGTGGGGCCTGAACTCTGGGCCTGGGTGCTGTCCCTCAGCTCTTCAGCTCAAGGCTAGCACTCTACCACTTGAGCCACAGCACCACTTCTGGCTTTTTTCTTTTTGCTTATGTGGTCCTGATGAATCGAACCCAGGGCCTCAGGCATGCAAGGGAAGTGCTCTACCACTGAACCACCTTCCCAGCTCCATGTCAAAAGTTATGATACAATTCCTTTCTTTCCCTTTTTATAAAAGGAAAGCTACCCAACAAATATTTTAGGTCTTCCAACTTCCCCTGCATTCAGTTTATAAGGTAACACAGGTGATATAACTCTGCCTGCCAATTGTTATAGGCAGTTTTTTTTTTTCAGATTAGCATGTCTATATACAATACAAAATCCTTATCTCTGAGTAATGGACCAATGACTACTTGTAATTAGTTGGTTATAAACAAAAGTTGCCTCAAATTTTCGAAGGATATTATAAGTACTAGATAAAGACTATGTTTTTCTAAAACTTTCTATAAAACTCTAACTCAGCTTTAAAAGAGAGCTATTTTGAATTTCAATTCTTAGTCAAATTTTAAGCTTTTAACTTTACTGTTATAAACAACCTGAGGTACTAAAAAAGACTTTTTTTTATCGTATGGACAAGCACATCATGAGATGATAAATTAAAAAGAACTAGAAACTATCCATACTGAAACTGAAGACTGGCAAGATGTTGGTTTTAGTAACCAAGAGACACATGGAGACAACATGTGAGAAACAGAAACAGTAGGCAGAATTAAATGAGTACATATGGAAATTAAATAAGCATACACTAAATGATGAATAAAAGGATTTGATACTTAAAAAATGTTCAAGGTAATTTGAATAAAATGCAAATCATACTCATAAAAAATAGAAACTAGAAATAATAGGATAAACACATTAGACAAAAGTAACAAAATAAACTGAGGTAATTTTCAGGACTAAGTAGAGGGAAGATCTGTTGATTTCAAGACAGTTTTGCATTATGTTGCCCAGGCTGGTCTCAAATGACTCTCCTACAACTGTAGGAGAACTTCCTCAGTAGCTGGGATAATATGCACTATGACACAAAAAGAAGCCAGATGATTTATCTTACTCAATATCAGAGATTTGTAGCAATAAGAATAATTAAGAGGGAGGTATTTGTGTAAAGAGACCAACTGACTAACAGAAAAATCAACATGAAAACAGTACACTGCACACAATAATAAGTAAAAGATGAATACTTAGAAGACAATGGAAAAAATATTTATTTTCAACTCTTATTCCATACATAAAAATTGGCCAGGTGGATTTAAGACTTAGCTATGAAAAGCAACAAAGATTTTTAAAAGAAAATGGAATTTGAGAGTGGATAAAGTAAAACAAAAGCACAAACAAGACTTAATAAATTTTGTTTGTGTCAAAGCTCAAATTTCTAAATGAGACAATAATGAACAAAATGTAAAGGCAGTAATTTACTGAGAAGAGATAATGAAATTCTCAGCTGATCAAGATTATTTTTTTCTATATTAAGTATTATATTACAAAGTAGCCAGGCAATCCAATAGAGTATTATAAGCAAAGGATTTAAACAGGCAATTCCCAAAGGAGGAAATCAAAATGTCAACAGAAGCAGAAAACAAAATTCACCATCATTAGTCAGAAAAATAAGAATTTCATATAATGGGACTGACAAAACCCAGTGTTATAACAAGTTTGCCAAGGGCAAAGAGAAATAACTCTGGTAAATCACACTGGAAGGCCATTTAGGAATTTAGGAAAATTTAGTGAAGATGAAGATGCTCAGAGCCAGTAACTTAATTCTAATCCCTTTAAAGAGACTCATCTATACTAGAGACACATGGTAGTCAATACCTGCTCAAGTGGCAAAAAGCCCAATGGGAAGCTGGCTACAGTTTGTACTAAATGGAAAGAATTTCTCTTGTTCATCCTGTAGTTCCAAGCACTATAATTAAAACAATCTGTATGACACAAGGGGGAGGGGTAAGCTCAGATTTAAATTTTGAGTCACCAAGTACTAATTCAATCGGTGATTCTTAGTGTCTACAAGTATTAATTCATACCCTTCTGGATGAACTAGAACCATCTATCTCTTCCATCCTAGACACTTGAAAACTGAAGAATCCATAATCAAAATATGAAAAAGAAATACAAATATTATGGCGGCATTTGAGGAATTCTAATCCTTATAAGACAATATACACAGTGAAATAGTGTAAAAGATATTCTACTTAAGATAAACCTTTATCTTAGTATTTCAGAATGCAGTGAACACATAAAAGTGCTATAACTCTGTACTGATGAGCAGTAGTTTCATGTGAAGGTTATTACTAGAAATTATATGTGGAGATGGGGGACAACTAAGAACATACCTGGATCAGCTGCAGTGAAAGGAACACCATCAGAGGTATAAAATGTTGGTTCATTCTAGGATGAATCAAAGTGATAAAAGTATTTAATTATTTTAAAATTATGTAGAATTAGTATAGTATGGTTGATGTCATTCATTTGCATACCTGACAGTGCATGAATAAGCAAAAAACAAAACAGAAAAAAGAACTCTCAAACTTCTGGGAACCACTCTCTTTTATTGGAATAATTTATGCTTTTCAGATCTCCACTCTTTATCTCACCTTCACAGAGTTTTAACCTTACCATCTATTGACTCTTATATTCCTGGTGAATCATGATTTAACATTAGGTAGTATTTGGCTATTTTCTTCCTTTTATACCATTTCCTTTTCTTTTGGTTTTACTGGAGTTTGAACTCAGAGGTTCATGCTTGCTAGGCAGGTGGTCTACTACTTGAGCCAGGCATGCTTCCACTCCTTTCCTTTTGTTTCAGTTATTTTTTTTACTTTTTTAATTGAAATTATTTTATTTGGTAATGGTTCATTTACATTAACTATATTGTTATTGAATATCTAACTTTCTTTTTATTGTGAAAATACTTTACAGAGTAACGGGTTACAATTACATGGGCAAGATAATGAGTACATTTCTTATCAAGCATTGTAGCCTCCTCCT